TGTGTGATCTTCTAAATGTTGAGGGCTTTAGGTTATTTTTTGTGTTTCTCTCCTGATGGAGATAAAGAGAAAAGAAGTAGAAAAATAGTATGTTCTGTAACTCTCTACAAACAGAGACTATAACCCCTTTATGTAACTGCTGTAAGTTACATTCAAAATTTAATATTTCTAATTTGACCCGTCATCAAATCAAAATATTACTTATGGTATCTACACAATAACTTTTCATGACAATTATGCCCTTAGCCGTAAACTTAATATTAAACAGACCACTTTATAATTTTGCTAATCAGATAATAGTCATAACATATTTAAATAATATATATGTGACCCAAAAATACTAACAAATTTCATTATATGGTTTGATCTAATTAGTTATTGATGAAAAGTAGCTAAAAATTTCACGAAAAATTGAACAAGAATATCTAATGTAATCTTATGTCTATTTTTATTGAAAAGTTTATTTTTAATAGTATATTCGTTAAGAAGCTTCTCTTCAATTTATTCTTATCATTAGTCAACTTTATAGTTATAAACTTTAGAAATTATATTTAGATAATTTGTAGCTGATCATTTCATATCACCGAGTGAAATTCATACCCACTATACTTAACACCATAATTTATGATATCCTTTAAATGTTTCATGAGTCTAATAATTGTAGCTAAATGATCTAGGTTAAAATTTTATGCATACCTACTCAATTTGCCCACAATATAAACTATATCAAATCAAGTTAAGGTCATTAAATATAATAAACTCTTAATAATCTAAGCATATTCATATTAGACAAGTTTACCGTTTTTTTTTTATTAGCATCATAATGTATGCTCAAAAGTTTAATGCGTCAAAATGACTAAATTTTTTAAAGAATCTTCTCAATGTAATATTACTGGGACAACATTATACTATCATTATTTTTATTGATTTTGACGTGTGTGTATATATATATATATATATATATATATATATATATATAATTCTAGTCATAATTTATTTTAAATTGTATTAGATCAATATAAATTAAACTAATTAAGTTAGATTCTCACTATATAGGATAAAATGTCTTTTTTCTTACTTTAGATTCAATATAAACATGATATTTATTCAATCATTCATTATTAATTCCATAAAATAAATCAAGATGTTACATTTTCTTAATATAAGAAATACTAATGTGTCATAATCTAGTATAACACATGTAAATAAAGTCACTCAAATAAGTAGAAAAGGAATAATCTTCATTAATAATGTTAGAAACATTAAGTATAAAAAGTTCTTAATTACAGTAACACTTTTCTCTCACAAATGCTTTATTTTTTATTATTATTACCATGTTATTAGATTTATATGATACTTGAACCAAAACGTTTTTCAAAAGTGCTACGGAAATCAAATTATCTCTAATATTTGGAAGAAAAAAAATGAAGCACTTCATTCAAAGTCATTGTCTTGTCAAATGCAAGCTTAAAAAAAATATCTTCTCGAAAAATTGTAGATTATAGAAGCACCAAATATATATGTTCATTTTCATTTCCTACAAAAGTGAAAAAGATAAAAATATATTTTCTTAACACAACTTTGTCTTGTAGCCCTAAAATCTACTAATTTATTCACATTATGCTCAATATTAACTTGAGAAATGACTGTCTCAATTATGAGATCTCCTTCAACTAACTTTACCTTTAGGTTAGGAAGATTGTCATTTCTCTCTCTATGCTTGTATCTTGCATGATGACCTGACTTCACCCAAATTAATATATAACATAATCATTTCTATTTGAAATTGAGGTTAGTAAGTTTAGGCACATAAAATATTTCATTAGATAAAGTACTAATAACGGTGTGTCTACATACCTTATTAACATATGTTTAATTTTCTAGTTATTTGGGTCTGCCATTGATAAAGGCTTAGAATCATAAAATCTATGGCAACTTGATGCTTGTCAAGGATTAAGTAGATACACTCTTGCCATCTCTTCAAGTTTTGGCTTCCAAAACTTTTGATATATGTTTTGAGACTATTTAGCATATGCAACAACCATGCCATGAAAGCTTTGCAATTGGATCATATTGAATGAAGGTTTAAAAAAAAAAAGAGCTGTATACTGGTGGAACTTTATTGTAGGTTCCATATTACATGCTTCTCTTATACTTGCTTGCTTCAATTTCTCCTTTCAATTTTTTTACAATAGCACCTTTTGGCTTTTTAATTAATAGAACTTTTCAATGCACCCTTCTTCTTCTTACTAGCATTACTAGGTACTTGATACACAAGTGATGATTTTGCATGTTGTCTGTCTTAATAACCCGTTAATTAGAAGTTCAATTAATTTGATAATTAAGCATCAAAACCTCATGTTCATCTTCAACCAAGTAGATAGTTATCCTCCTTCTAATCAATGATGATGTAGAAAAGTTCCTAATCTGCTATGGCTACTTGAAACGAGACAAAATTATAAAAATAATCAACTTTATACCATGCATCAACAAACCATTCAAATCGAAATGGATCTTTGTTTAACCTCGAAGATATAACAAATGTGTTTGGATATCAAGCAACTTGTATAAAGGGCAATTGATCTAATGAAGGTGAAGTGTGAGAATTTCATCCTCGACAGAAAAAACTAAAGAGATTGTCATCACTCAACCGAAAATCTTTACCTAGTGTTTGAAGAAAAGATGAGAGGTTTAGAAGAAAATGAAACATGTATCTTCCCTTTCCTTTCCCCTAAGGTAGGTAGGTAGCTATACTAGTTATAGACATTGTGTGGTTTTACTTATAAAGCTGAATTTACATTTATGTCTTCTGTTATAACGTGTAACTTTTGGAAAGGAACATGTTATATATGTCTACGTTTCAAACTTACAATCCCTCGTTAGTTTTACATAATTATTTGAATAAAAATAATTTCACATAGAGAAGTGAAGAGATAGAGAGAAAAAACAATAATAAATTTGATTAATTATATAATGGAGAAGGATAAAAAAAATAGAAATATATAAGGTACAATTTAAACTTAGTATGATAAAATATTTTGATGTATAAAAATAGTTAAAAAAATATGAAAAAAAAGACTTGTTTGAATTTTGTTTCATAAACGTATGAATTTAAGTATAATAGCAATAATACAATAATGGTGATAAACTAATATAATATAAGATAAATTAAAAAATATAAATTAATAAAAATTGACACTACTATGACAAACAATTTGATGCTTTAAGTATGTTATATATTTAAGGTTTGATACTTAATTAGACTTATGTATGGAGATTAAGAAGGGTAAAATTTATTTCAATTGTCTTTATCTCTCTAAACAGTTAGTCTATTAATTGTTAGTTAAGGGATATTTTTAATGTCCAGAAAATAAAAGAGCCTACAGCTCAAAAGTCGTGTAATAATTTAAGATGATAAGCATTATTGTAGTGTTTTATTTACTTTTTGAATTTTTATTTTGAGTTGGTATGTTTTTATTTTATTAAAATTTCAAGTTTTAAATAGAAAATATAATAAGAAAATTATATAGCCCAATATTTTTTATAAAAGTCAAGGGAAAATACAAGTGAAAAAATAAGATCTGTCATCGATCCAAAGGGGTATGTACATTTTCTAAGTTAACAAAATAAGCACATAAAACTAACAATATAACATGCACACTGCTTGAGCATTTATAAGATCCTTTTGCTAGCACATTCCATCGACAGAATTTGAAGTTTATTCACTAAATATCCACGACTGAATGTAGTTTATGTCCTGTTTTTAAGGTATGTCGAGAGTCACTATCAAATTTAAGTTGCATTAACTCAACCTATGAATTTAGCATAACTAACATATTTATCTATTTTCAAATCTAAACACTTCCATCGCTGTTTCAAGATTAAGTAAAATATAAACATGCCCGTCCTCATTTCAATAATTTTTATTTTCAAAAATAATATAAATTGTTCTGATGTTTGTGTAAAAATGCAACAAAATATCATATGATTTAATAAACAATAACATAAAATATTACAACTTTTAATAAAAAATTATATAAAGAAATTAAGATAAATATCAATATTCATAAACTGCATAGCAAGATTCTGCAGAATCGGAACACATGCATTATTATCTATTCAGCATAATCTTCTTTCGCAGACTCTTCCATTCTCAGTTTCAATAAAATATCAGCAGAATACCTCTAGTAGTCAAAATTCATCTCTCAATTAAGAATTCGAAAAATTGACTTCTACATCATCATACATTCAAACAAAAGGGCAATTAGACTTTAATTTTGATTATACCAAGAAAATGAATATAATCATATTTAACAAAACGACAACCCAAATGCTCCATTTTATTTTGCTAAATCTATGGATCAGTACCAGCTATGGGTATGGAAGAGAAACATATACTAAAACGCTTCTGCAGATCTTGTCCTTTCTCCCATTCCAATCTTTATGACAGGTTGTCCAACTTTTAAAATATGTAACAAACGCTTAGTCTCTAATGCAGGGATAAAAAACAAGAACTGGATTAGCTGGAAATAATTAATAGCACATTAAAATATGTGTCACTGTCACACATTTTACCAAGAATGTGTGGCAACTTAGGTATATAGCCTTCACTTTGCCCTCACTTTAGAGGGAACACCTCACCGACACACAGACCCACCAACACAAAACTCCAAAATCCGAGCTCTCTCCACCCAAGTTCCAAACCATTGTGCAGTTATGGCATTATTGTTGACAATGAAACGCTGAATTATTGTGGATAAAATGCATTACAATCACGTGCCATGGCGCGTGCTACATGAAAACTATATTTCTTTTAAAAGCACACATAATTTAATGATTACACCGTATATGATTTCAATATCGAAGTGCTAATTTGTATTTTTTGAAGATAATTTTGAAAATAAATTAACGAAAAGTTATTCTACCTATAATAAAAGTTTTAAAGATCGAAATAAATCTTTTTAGAAGTTTAAAAACTAAGTCTCACTATGGTGTTAATTTATAATTTTCTCAATTTCTTTAAAAAATGCATTGTTAACATACATGAAGGTCCATATAAAATGGTCAACACCAAAGTTCCTGCACTCAGCAACTTTGATTTCAGCGTCGTGTTGACTTTGGCATCAATGGCAGCGTGGATTTCTTGGGCAATGTAGCAGTTAGCAAACCAAGTGGCTATTTAATATGATGCTTTGCATACCCTATGATCATAATTAACGCTTCATTGCCTTTGCACTCTTCTCATGTGATGTGTGTAACAAAGCTCCTTTACTAGATACTACTTTCGTGGTAGCTTCACGGAAAAATTGAAATTTCATTCTTTCCAGATTTGAGATCCATTTTAAAAACTTGGGTCCTCTCCCCCATTGTCCTACCACCTGCTCCACATTAGTGAAATTCTTTATTCTCATAATTTCCCATCAAAAATCTTTTCTCACAATCATTATACTATGACAAGTAACTTTTCTGATTTAAAGCATTTCTCTTCAAATTATTAGATTCTGTACAACTAGAAAGAAATTAAAAACTAAAAATAAAAAAAATACAAAGCCAGGACCAAGGATTCTGTTTTTTGTATAGCCATTCAGTGAGGCTCATAGTTTCATATCATATTATGAGCAATTTAACCATGTCAATTCCTTTGCTTCAATCCTGCACTCTGCAGTGAGTAGAGTATGCTGTGACTATCCAATCTCTAAGTATTTTAGCCTAAAACTATGAAGATATTGTGGGTTTCCTTCTATTACTTGTTGCTTGTTCTGCTTACTCCTCCTTCAATTGCACAGCTATCATCAAGTGAAAATAGAATTCTTTTCCAAGTTCAGAAGCTTCTTGAATATCCTCAAGTTCTTCAAGGATGGACAAGATGGACCAATTTGTGCTTCCTCCCTCCTTCACCTTCACTCAAGATAGTTTGTTCAAATGGTCATGTGACAGAACTAACTATCATTGGAAAGAAGAGTTCCCCATCTTCACACATCACCAAAGCAGCTTCTTGGAATTCCCTTTCAGGAAGCTTTTCCATTGATTCTTTCTTCACTGTGATGACAAAGCTTTCAAATTTGAAGGTGTTGTCATTGGTGTCCTTGGGTTTGTGGGGTCCTTTACCACCCAAGATCAACAGGTTCTGGTCTCTTGAAGTGCTGAACATTAGCTCAAATTTCATTTATGGGGAAATCCCATCATCAATATCCTCTATGAAGAATCTGAGGAGTTTGGTTTTGGCTGATAATCTCTTCAATGCAAGTGTTCCTGATCTTCAAAGTCTAACTTCTCTTGAAGAGCTCAACTTGGGAGGCAACAAACTTGGTCCTGATTTCCCTTCAGTGGGAAATAATGTTGTGAGTATTATTTTGAGAAATAACACACTGAGATCTCATATTCCTCCTCAAGTAATGCACTTAGATAAACTTGAGATATTTGACATCTCTTCCAATGAAATTTTTGGAAACATCCCATCCTCTCTTATCTCTTTGCCTTCCCTTCAGTACCTAAATTTGGCTTCAAACCAACTAGGTGGTAACCTCTCTGTGAATATAACCTGTAGTTCTTCACTAACATTTGTGGATATCTCACACAACCTTCTGGTAGGAAAATTGCCATCTTGCTTTGGTTCAATGTCTTCAAAGGCCGCAGTACTGTATTCTGGGAATTGTTTATCAACCAAAAGTTTGAATAATCAACAACATCCATCTTCTTATTGTAAGAAAGAAGGGGCTTTAGCTGTTAAGCCTCCAGCAAAAATGCTGAAGAAGGAATCAAGTGTGCAACTAGGCCTAATACTTGGTATAATTGGAGGAGTTGTAGTATTTGCAGGTGTTCTGGCTTTACTCATTGCGTTCATCTTGTGGAAGTCCAAAGCAGAAAGATCACAATCACATCATAAAATAGAAAAATCTTTAGCTGATAAATTTTCTGCCCGTGCATCTCCTACACCAAATTATGGTACAAGTAAGGTCAATACTATATTTCTATTATTAATTGCATTTGTTTGATAAATCATGAACATCTTAGATTTAGACAAATGGCCATTATTTTCCAAGTTGGTGCTTTAGATCTTCTTCAAAATTCTTATTCCTTCATTTAAATGATGCATTATTGTGGCTTCTCCCGTGGGAATAGGACGTATTCCTCAGACAATGAAGCAAGCTGCACTTGGACTGCCACCATACCGTATTTTCACATCAGAGGAAATTGAAGATGCAACAAACAACTTTGACCCATCAAATCTAATAGAAGAAGGGTCACAAGGACAGGTAAAATATTTTTTATAATGTTTGTGGAATCATAACTTGTGCTGAAATGGAACCCACCACAAGTCCAACTTTTAATGGCTTTTACTATCACATTTACACAGCTGTATAAAGGTTGGCTCAGAGATGGTTCAATGGTCCTGGTTAACTGTGTAAAAATAAAGCAGAAGAACTTGCCCCACAGCATTATGCAGTACATAGAGGTATTACCCAATTTGAGGCATAGGCATATGGTGAGTGTTCTGGGACACTCTATCATTACTCAACAGGACCCTCCCCAAACAACAAGCACAGTCTACATTGTATTTGAATACATCTCAACTGTGTCATTGAGGGATCAACTTACAGGTAAAGAATCATATAGAATTAAATGCTAAAGCAAAGATATGACTGCTCCAAAATATGTAACATCTTCATTCAACAGATGGGAGAAAGAGAGAAATGGTGAAATGGCCACAAAGAATGGCAATCAGCATAGGCATTGCAAGAGGAGTCCAGTTCTTACACACTGGAGTTGCACCTGGCATATTTGGCAACAATCTAAAGATTGAGAACATTCTGTTGGATGATAGTCTCAATGCAAAAGTCAGCAGATACAAAATTTCATTGCAATCCAAGGTATGGACAGAACATAATTTGATCATTCTCTAATTAATATTTGCACAATTACATCCAAAACTCTAACCTCCATTGATATATGCCTTGATCAATTTTCAGGGTGCACATAATGAACAAACTGCCACCAATAATAGTGGGAGGTATTTTTCTTCTTGACTACCTTTCTCTTCTCTTCAATTCCACTGCTGTATCCTAAAGTATAATTTGTTATTATACCCATATGCAGCACAAATAATGCAGAAAAAGAAGATATATATCAGCTAGGAGTTATTCTACTTGAAGTCATCACTGGCAAACAAATTGCATCCTCCAGTGAAATAGAGGAGCTGAAGGACGAGGTATCCATTAAAACCTTTGTTCTTAAATACTCACAATTATAAAGTTTGCCAAGCTTACATAATAAATGTTCTGAAACCCATTTAAGAATCAAGAAAAAAAAAAAAAAGATAACCAAATGAAGATATATTTTTTTTAATCTTTATGCTGTTTATATCATGTTCAGCTGGAAAGAGGTTCATCAGAACTAGCATCAGTGCTAAGAAGTGCAATTGATCCTTCACTGCGGGGAACATATGCATATGAATCAATGAGAACTGCAGTTCAGATTACCATTAACTGTCTCTCCAAGGTTTCTAGCCAGCGCCCTTCTATAGAGGATGTTCTCTGGAATTTACAGTACTCAATGCAAGTTCAAGAGTCATGGACCAGCAGTGGAAACCTCAGCACAAAATTGTAAACCACCCGTCATGAAAAATCTTTCTTTGCATTTCATAAGTTCATTATCATAATGAATAAATGTTTATGTAAATATGTAATTTCTTCAATAAGGTCAACAAAACACACTTTGGCCACCAATTTTTTTTTTCATATTATTATGATTATTATTATGGCTTTTATATAGTCTACGCAATATTACACATTAAAAAATTTATATAGAAGAATTTATTTTATTAAAAATTACGTAATTTAATGAAATTCAATATATTGATTATATTAAATGTTACATTTTTTAATAAAACTTATAATTTTTTAATTTCTTGTCATATATTGCCTGAGTTAGAAAATCGTTATTATTTTCATTATTACTATTGAAATTCTGATCAAAAGTATTATTTAGGCTCTTATCAATTCCTTGCTCCTTTGGATTACCATGGTTCCAATAAATCATGAAACTGTTCCAATAAGCCATACAAAGCTAGGAATAACATTTTCATCATGAGTACAACTAAATTTAGACCTAAATTTTCATCAGTTAAACGCCAACTTTAAAATACTAAAGGCATCAACTTTGTACAGTGTATTTTGTTTACATTGTATAGTATTTTATACGTTAGAAGTTACTTTGTCTATTAATATTTTTCATTAATAACTATATTTATTTAATAAAGTTAAAAGGTACTTAACTAATCATGATAGAAATTCATCCCTTCTTCAAGTATCCAAACATGTGAAAAAATAAAAAATAAAAAAAATCCCTTAATAGATTTATCATCAAATAGTTATCCTCGACTAATGCTTCACTCTCGTCAATCTAGCTCATCATATTTTTAGTGGCATGTAATACATGTTCCTAAAGGACGACGATCGGTGATGGGTCCTGTACTCATTGAGTATCAACAAATAAATAAATAAATAATATTACAATGAATAAGGTAAATACTTGATAAATTTGAATTCAAATATAAGTAAATATCCACAAAATTCTATGATACGAATATTGAAACGAGCATTTAGTAACTACACTCATTTAACCCTCTCCCCCTTCCCCTTCCCCTTCCCACACACACTATAAACAATTATATAATTACAATTAAAATTTTAAATAAATAATTGAGTATATATATATATATATATTATAATTTAATATTTTATTCTGAAATGACATTTTATTTCCTTCTTAAATCAACGATTGTATTTAATATTTTAAAATTTTAAAAATATTTGTTTTTATAATGAACCATTAATTTTTCACTATCTATTTTACATATATTATATAATATTAACAATAATGATTATTCCGAACCACAGTAGTCTGTTATTCAGCACGCCATCTTATGTCATGACGATGAAACAAATGATATGGGGTTTTAATAAAAATTGAGTGTGCACATGGAGAAAATAAGGTGGAACATTAATTGATATAGTTTGAGCAAGCACTCTATCAAGAGCTAGAAATTCATAATTGTTCTTTTAGAAGTTTCGTGATTATTCAATCAGATCCATTGACAACCCCTTTTAACTGCCACTAAGGCCTATGATGGATGATTAATCAATCAGCAGTCCAACTCTGCTCAACAATCTCACGAACTCTTCTGTTGTATTCACGCTTGTTTTCGCTGAACATCCGAGCAGCTTCAGAATTTGCTGGAGAATTTGGGTTTGGATCACACAACAATGACTGCAACAAGATTCCATAGTAAAGCAAATCAAACACGATATATCTAATCAAGTTATATACAATTTCTTCATGTGTTTTTCTTGGTTACTTCGTTCTTTTTGGATTGATGTAAATCATTTTAACATTAAATAGTCAATTGGGCAAATGAGGGTTGGCTCAATTCTAGGAATATACAGTATCAGCAAAATGGGCTTAAGTAATTAGGTTTTATTCTTATTAGTTGAATTTAATTGGTAGGGTTATCTGTCAGCACATACGGCCTTGTAAGAGAGAACTCAAATGGATTGGATAAATGACTGCATGACAAAAAATGATTGGGAATTATATCGAAGCAGATCACTTGTACATGAATCTACATGACAGATACCGTATGTAAAACTAATAGATAAAAAGGCATTGTTTCTTTTACCATAATTTCAGAATTCAATGCAGGTAACGGCACATACAAATTCATAAGAAATGGATTTCGCATAATGCAACCCCAAAAGTTAGCTTAGGAGGAAGAATTGTCCAAGTCTTATAAAGAGTACTCAAACGATATTCCTAACCAATGTAGAATCTTAATGAAAACATATTCAAAGATTCAAGTAATATTCAAAACAAATTATTTGCACAATTGATTTTTCCTCCTTCATCCGTGATTGAGTAAAGTATTTTCAATAATGATATTGATACCCATTGTATCATAGACAAATTGATGGACTGTGATAATTTTTGGTGTAGATGAGATGAGTAAGATAGTTGAAATATGTTAGTAGGAATAATTGAAAATGAGAGTTGAAGAAGTTTTAACAAGAGATTCAAAAGATGAAGAATTGATAGGTTGATTACTTTTTCTTAACTTTTACAATGAGGTAGCATGCCTATTTATAGACATCATCCACCATTATGTTTGGGTGTTTTAATATTCTAGAACTATCTTGAAAGTAAAAGGTATACAATATTCTAGAACTCTCTCTAGAAGTATCTACAAACTAGAAGATAAAAATAATTTTTTTTAAATTGTTTCATATAATTATCTAGACTATTCTAGAAATTTATATCATTTTCTAATAGACTGGGTACAATCAAACCATTGCCAGAATTTATGGTCTCATAGAAATTTTAAAATATTAAGTCAAACACAAATACCTGGATTGAGGTAAGAATTGCAGCAACATCATAAATTGGGCTCCACTGATTTTGTAAAATGTCCAAGCATATACTGCCATCTGCATAAACTAAATTGCCAAGTAAAAGGGGCTTAGAAATATTGAAAGCTATTAAAATGCATACAAAAGGAAATATTTACTGTTTGATTACATTCTTGTTATTGAGGAACTTTTCATAAATTCGGAGTGTCAGATCAACAAGCTAAATTGTTAACTATGTATGATGCATCAGTCAGATTGTCCAAAATAATTTTCTATATGAAGTTATTGCATGATACAAAATTCTTACACAGGTGTCAAAGTATCCAGACTATTTTAATCCTATCAATCCCCAAAACCAGCATCTCCAGGAAACAGATAGATAATGAGAAAAAGGCCTTAATCACATCTTTAATTATTTTACTTGTAAGAGTTTAGAATGCTTTTAAATATCTAAAATATTAAAATTTTCTTTTATAACAAATATAAATAAATTTGAACATTACAGGATGCCATGATGAAAATAATAACTTTATAAAAAGGAAAAGAGGTATACACACCATCTATACTCTAGAACCAAAGTGCTAGATCAGGACTAAAACATAAAATAATGCATGTTTTACTTTTCAGTTTAACCATTCTCAGAAAAAGTTTGCAGGAAGAAAAGTCACCACTGTTCAGAAGCTGATTCAATAATAATTTCCAAAAGCCAAATCAATGTTGTAGAAACCCTCAGGCATTGACTACACAAATATTTCAAAAATTCTCATCCTAACTCCAAAATGGATTTGCAGGGTATCTTTATTATACTCACTGTTTGGATGAAACATTCGAGAAACAAAGTGCACTGTAGGTGGTTTGTTTGGATAATCCTCTGTAAACTGAAGTGTCAACTTAAACGTACCTGAAAGACAGAATCAGTCAGACAAAAAACCAGAAATTAGAAGCCTCCACACCCAGGCATAATTAAATGACCATGACAAAGTCAATTTAAACCATTATATTTTTAAGAACCTAAAATACATCAAATACTAAGTTACTAACCATTGTGCGACACACCTACAGGTTTAACTTATGTTTGTATGAATAAAATAAAAGAATAATACCATATTAGATACTTCCGATCTACCTTGAATTGTTCTAATTTCTGCTTTCAAGGACAAAGTTGAACGCAAGACACAATTTTACATCAAGATATTTGATTAAATAATATTAAAGCAACAAAACATATACATAATAGATAAAAGGGCATGTAGTTCAACACACTTCAACTTTCAGCTCTATATATTATTTTAGAACAAAATCTGTTCGTCCTCTAATCAATCTTGATCATAACAAAGATTAATGCTATCACACATACCAGAAAATCAAACAATTATTGCAACAAGAGGAAACATCGAAATAGGACACAAAGTCTCAGTTACATAAGGTGGAAGATATAAATGTACCTCCATCCCACGGGGTATCATCTGGTCTGAAAAAGCACCAAGAAAAGCATAATTATATTTCTGTTATGATTTAAATCGTCCAAAACCGAAAAGTAAAGAGAAACACAAACTAGAAATAAAGAAAATAAAATTTCAGGATTTGTAAACTTTTACACACCCAAAGATAACAGCATTCCAAAGCATGATATTATTGTCTTGGGGCGCCCCACTGATGCCAGCAGGAGGATCTAGTTGCAATCTTTTGAAATCTCTCATCAGCCTCTTCCTTGCCGGAGTAGACATCCTCACCACCTATATCCTAATCAACTACAATCCAAACAGTAGAAATCATTCATTGACATGCCATGTGCATACATATAAATTTGAGAGAGAGAGAGAGAGAGTGATTGAGTGAGTAACTATATTGAAGAAACATGAAAATCTTTTATTACATGTCAGAGAACAACATCAAAGGTTCAGAGAATGCAAACACACAGACAATAGAGCACAGTTTACTTTCTCAGAGCTTAGCAATCATCAATCCACTAATACTTAATGAGAAAACATCTGAATTGTCCCACAAAACATTCACAATTGAACAACATAATAATACAAAGAGTTGTACATTCAACTCAGCAACAGTCCTTGAGTTTGCATCAGTGAACTAAAAGAAAGATTCAATTCATTCACAGACTAAACAAAGAAGTGGGTATATGCTAATTCATGCTCTGTAAGAGCCCAAAACAAGAAAACAGAAAAATCAACAGTTTCCATACACCCCATTAAAATTTCTTCACACAATCACAGAACGGGGATTCTTAGTAGACACCCCAGATCGTCTTCACCATTTCCACCACAACAATTACGAAACAAATAAGGGGGTTTTGATACAAATGCCAGAGTAAATACTCTGGGTATGAATTAGTTTCAAGAAAAGCCATCCACAGAAAACAAAAATCGGATTTTTAAGCGAAATCGAAACATATAAAGAGAGAAAGAAGGTTCTGACCTGTGAGTGAAGATGAGCTTGGAGCTTGGAATGGACTTGGAAGAATCAAGAAAGGAAGGGAAAGAATGCGAAAAGAAAATTATTTTGGTTTTGTTAAGAGAGAAATGGTTCCATGGCAAAGGGTTCATGAGAGAGAGAGAGAGAGAGAGAGAGAGAGAGAGAGAGAATCTTTTAGTTGCAATAATTTTGATTTTTGTAGAATGGTCAGGTCTGGTCAGCTTAGCGGTCCCAATCCCAAATGCTTTTTTTTCTTTCTTTTCTCTCAGATGATGTCTGCCTTTCTTGCCAACTTGCTACAAACTCCCAACAACCCATCACACATTCTGCATTATACATACCCATTTGCATTTGACGTCAGCTTTTTTTTCACAAGGGGAATTGAATATAAGGAATTTAATGTAAAAATTTGTAATACTATAAATTTAATTCAAATACATTTTCTGTGTAAAATTTGTCATTAATTTAATGATCACACTTGTAATAATATTTTAATAAAAAATTCAAAATTTCTAAATTATTAGGTAAATTATATCAATAGTTCATCAAAATTAAATTTTTTAAATATTATTAAAATATTTTATTACAGTTTATAATAAATAAAAATAATCTATTCAATTTTTAATGAGCAAATTTTAAATATTCAATGGTAAGAACTTTTTATATATGTTTAAATTTTTTTCAATTAATCATATTTTTAAATTAGAAGAAAAGAAAAACTAAATATATTAAACAAAAGGCTTGAATAAAATTTTAATCGTAAATTTTTTATAACTTTTTTATACGGTTCTTCCTTCTTTTTTTTTCAATCTAGTTTCTCAAAAATTATTTTCATTTTATTTATCTATTGATATTTTATTTTGTCATTTAGTTACATAAACATTCAAGTTAACTCATATAATTTAGTAAGATATAATATAAATAAAATGTAGTATTAATAACATCATCATTCACGTTAATTCTACGTGATATTGTATAAATCAAGTTAAAATTAAACAAAAGCGCATACTAAAAAAAGTAACAAATTATTACTAGAGGAATCGTATGAAAAAAATATAAATTTTTGAACACCAAAATCTTATATAATTTTAAATAATAAGATTTAATAATATATTACTACCATATCCTTCATCCAATTCATATTTATCATACTATCATCATATTTATTGAATAAAACATTATTTTAGTCATTAAAAGAAAGGAGGAGCGAGAGAGGGGGGACGACAAGTGAATTTTAGAGTGAACGAAAAGAAAAAATTAAGAAAATAGAAAGCTATATTGCAGGAAGTGTAACGTCCTAAATTTTGTAATGATGTTTCATATATTAATATAAATTACAAATTTCTATTTGAATGAGTATGATGATGTGAATGTATGTGTATATGTATGAATACGTATAGATGAATATATATATATATATATATATATATATATATGTATGTATGTATTTATGTATAATTATTGATGTGGTTTGATTGATTGAAAATATTGGCTAAGTGTGTGTTGGAGGGTGTTCTCACTATAGCGAGAACACCTAGAGTGGAGAGCATGAGCTTGTGGCGTTTTTGCTATAGCGATGAGGTCCTGTGAAAAAAAGGTGATTCAGTTGCGTTCTCGCTGTACCGAGAGTGCAACAGAGGAATGTGTATGTTTAGATACAGTCTCGATATAGTAAAAAGATCTCGTTGTAGTGAGATTCTACAGATACCAGAGTACAGTTTCCTTTAAGATTTTCGTTATAGCGAGAGGGGGTATTGCTGCTGACACTCACGTTGTAATGGTGTCAAATAAAACTAAATTTTTCAATTAATTTTGTAATATAGCGAGCAAAGCTAGGTCATTTCACACAAATACAAATTCATTATGTTTTCAATTTTAAACATGCAACAGTGGTTAATTTGGAAGTTTTGTGATTTAAAGATGAATTTAAAACAAAAGTAATTTAAAACGAAAGCAAAAAATAGATCTAAAACTAAAAAGGGAATTTAAAATTTGAAAATAGATCTAAAAACTGAAAATGAATTTAAAATAAAAAACAAATTTAATTTAACCCAGAAAAATAAAAATAAACACAAATTGAAAACAAAACAAATTGGAAAATAAAAACAAAAACAAAAATAAAAACAAAAACGAAACACTAGGTCCCTGTACGCCTTACTTCTCTCCCTATATCTAGCTTAATTATGTTTTTTATTTGTGAGATTGAGTACGTCTCAATGCATCCCCTCTCTTTAGCTAAGTCAAGTTCAAGCGTAAGGGGTTGAATACATGTGAACTTAAGCAGTAGCAAACATCTGTATAACGCGTATAAAATTCTTCTTATGGAGTACTATTTGTGCTCTTGTAAATAATGCAAATTATTTTGATGATAAAAAAAAATAAAGGAAATTGATCAAATTAGTTTATAAAAAATGAAGAAGAAATTCTATTATCAAGTTGGTCCTTATATTAACTCTTATTATCAAGTATATAAAAAATTGTGTAATTCATTTTGTTATTGAAGGATGAAAAGGAGGGTTAAGGTGGAATCAAGAAAAGAAAAGGAAAAGAACAAGCCTTTATAACTATAAATAAAAATGGTCAAATAGCTAAGTTGAAGTTTTGACAAAGATAAACATGAAAAATGAGTTAAAATTTATATATATTTCAAAAATTTAAACTATAATTTTTTAATTTAATTTTTTTAAAAATATTTTAAGATTATAAGGGTTAATTTTATATTAATATTATACAAGAAATTATTTTTAAAAATATTGATAAGTCTGTAATTTGATCTTATTTACAGCCATAAAATATTCATATCTGACTTTTATTTCATTGATATTTTACACAAATTTATATATTGATTGTGTTGTTTGGTAGAAGGAAGCCTGAAGTGAATTTTGGTGCATATTGGACCCAACTGGATGAAGATTAGAGTCCTACAACAGTAAGCACGCCCAACAAGCACAGGGGTGCTTTGAAGGAATGCATGACCGTGCTGCATTGTGGTGCACGGCTGTGCTCGTTTGCGGAAACCCAATCTTACAATTTTAAAGGAGTTCAAACTCTATAAATAGGGGGAGAAAGGCATCGTCAAAGGCATCTTTTGAACACCATTTTACACACAACTTTAGTCCTTCGAGGTTTCGATCATTTTCACCTCTCTTGTACAAATCCTTAGCATATTCTTGGCAGAAACTGGAGCTTCAAGTGACCATACTTGAAGACGGAAGATTCATCTCATATTCTAGTTTGCTATTTCTCTTGATTATGGTTTTGTTTATGATTGTTTTAACTATTTCTTTCAACATGAGTAACTAAATCCATAGCTAGGGCTATGGGAATTGTTATTTATAAATTTATGAGATTTTGATGTTTGAATCTTAATTCGATTTCTGTTTCATGATTAAAATTTATCCTATCGCATCTCACTCTTAATCCTAATTAATTACATCGTTAGGCGACCGTACCTCGGTTAATTAATAGATTTATAGGATAAAACGGGATGAAAGATTAGGTAGACTAAACCAATCTTTCTCTTCTAATCGTTATTAAATTAACAAGTTCATAGGTTCTTTAAGCTTTCTTAAATTGATATCTTGCATGATCATTGAGGATGTTAATTTAGAGAAAAGAATATTAATATTGCATGACCATTGAATATTAATAGTATTTGTATGAATGATTGGTAATCACAAGGAAATCGAATTTAGAGTTAAACACAAAAATAACATAAAGGATTGAATGAGAAAACTCATATGCCCTAGGTTCCTCTCCGAGAAGTTTAACCAAGACGTGCAATGTATTCCTTACTCTTAGTTTATAATTAATTTTAGAAATTCTTGTTTTAATTAATCTCATATCTTTGAAGCTTAAACAATTAAATTAGGAAATTCTTAGTAATTGAAAAACAATCCTTGTGGGACGATATTTCGAGAATTTAATTTAAGAACCCTTTATTACTTCTTGACATGTACACTTGCCCTCCAAACAAATATCATTTTAAAATCTTTTGCAAAATTGTTTTCCAGCATACTATTTTTAAGTTATTTCTTTCTAAAACCATTTGCAAATTATTTTGGTTTCTATAACTTGTTTTTAAATCAATTTTTAATTTATTTAAAGGCATTTATTTACATGTTTTTGACAAGAGAAAAAGAAAATAAATATTAAAAATTAAAATTTCTCTCGGAGCTTATTTACTACATTAGTACGAGATTATTAAAGCCTCAAGTTGTATTACTTTTAAAGTGTTTTGTTTTGTGATAAGATATCCTTATAGGTATTAATTAGGTGAGGTATTTTTAGTGGTATTAATAGTGTTTTATAAGGGCAAAGTATCCTTTTGAGCATTAGGGTGAGGTATCCCTAGTTATTTTTAGGCGAAGTATCTCAAACCTTTATAAAAGGATATTGTAGTATTGATTAGTCAATGTAAATATCTAGAGTGAAAATATAGGAACTGGAATGTCATATATAGATGATTGGTAGTCGAATCAAGATAAATAGATTTACATTCCTTTTATCCTTTCCATGGCACCACAATTCATTCAACCTCCAAAAAATTCTATAGACTCCTTCGAATCTAGTCATACCCATGAACCATCATCAAATCATCCATGAACCACTCGAACCGTTGTCGTCAACACTCCTTTGGTTAGACCTATAACCTCACCATGAATATCTTCGCTTTGCTCAGCCACCAAGAGACCAAAACCCTAGCCTTACACAATAGCCACCATTATTATCGACAACTACCAAACGTGACCACATTATGTCACTACCGTTGACCTCTTTTTCTCATTATTAGCTACCTTTGCTTTGCACCATCCTCGATCACTGAAGTTCCTCCAAAAGCTATAATGAAACTAAGTTGCGCCTCTAACAAGGCCAAGTGCCCAGGATGCTTTGCACCACCACCTCATGAACTAGCCTCCCTAACAACCTCTCTCATTCATGCACCTATTTGCCCCATTCCCAAAATCATTTTCAAACTGCTATGCTGAAACCATTGCAATAACTACACCACCACACCAACCCTGCACACTTCTTGCTCACACCTTCGTTAGTCAACTTTTTTGCCCACCATTACGAGTTCATTAAAATAAATAAATAACTCATTTAATTTTTGTGTCATCATCCACCAAGTCATCACGCACCTCTTTCAATTTCATGCATAGATTACTCAATTTGATAAGTTAATGGTGGACAATTGGATGACATTTTCAGTTGTGTGAAAGATAGAGGTTATGGTAATGGTGGACAATTGGTGCATGTTGGTAAAACTAAAGGCTTGTCCCATTTTTTTCTCTCTTAATTCAATCTCACCATTTTCTTCTTTTATGGGTTGACTTGTTTGACTCTGTTTTACAAATGACCAAAATGCTGTTTTACTTTATTTTTTTGTGCTAGCTAGTTAGATCTTCTCCATGGTTTCTAATGTGTCATGCCATTTTTTCGCCATTGTTTTAGAAATGGGAGTTAACATGGGGACCAATATTATTGAGGGACTAGTCTTCTAAAGACATTTATTTATTTATTTTCTTTTAGGTGTGACACCCTTACTTATCATATAGTACAGTATGTTATAGAATTATATGGGAGTTTCAGCTTGATTTAGTTTGTTATCAATATTAAATAATCACATCAAAATTTCATAGAAAACATGCATTTAGTCTAGCAAAAGTACCAACTAAAAGGTAATATTGTGTGTAGGTGTTACTATATCACAAGCCCAAAATGTTGCTAATAACACAAGGGAGTTTCCTTGATGTAATGCTTCACCCCACTACTTCTAGCCAATGTCAAAGTAAATGTTATCTCAGTCGAAAATGGCCTTCAAATTAGATGCCTACGTTCTGGATTATTCTCCCACGAACTTTGACAAGTATATCTCTGGGTTAAGTAAGAAAGATCCATCATCGCCATCATTGGAATTAGGATCTTTGCGAGCATTTATTGTATTTACAACAGAAAGCGAGGTACAAGGGGTAAAAAATACATCATTCTACCATACAAGCTGCTCTGAACAACCTTAAGTTTATCATATATAATATTTTTTTCTTTTAGTAAGAGGTTAATCTTTTTTTGAGATATTCTTTTATTACAAACATAAGATTATCCCAGCTTTTGCAATGCTACATTTGTAATTTTATTTGTCATCTATAAATCACATAATATTATATCAAATTATTTTACTATATTAAGTGCATATATAAGTTATATTTTTATTTCTTCCACAAAAGACTGATAAGTTATTTTCTATTTGTTTTCAAAATTATTAATAAGAAAAAAATTACTAATACACCATTTTCTCCCTAAATAATAAATCATAACTGTATAATTATTCTAATACATCCCATGTGTTCAAATACTAGTATATCTACATAAATATAGTTGCTTCAAGTAAATAAATATATGTTATCAAGTTATAGGTAAATAGCAAACAATAACTTTCATTATGAAATTTTGCAAAAGGAAACAACAATAAATTATTGTTCTATTTTGGTGATCGCATATGCCAAGTAGCAAACTTTTTTATTCTCGCTATTCTTTACAGTACAAAACCAACTTTGGGAAATACTAGAACGAATGGTGTGATTTGTACACTATTTGACTTCCATTAGTCTAAGAGTTGGTTACATTTATTAGACGATATCGATGATCCAAGGGAACTTTTAGATGCTTGTGATGGTTGAAATATGGCCGAGTTCGCTTTCGGAACATTAGGTACACATGATGGCAAGCTCATGCGCCTTGAAGATGCATTTTCATTGTGTATGGCATCTCTCCACCTAGATTTAAGTTCAAAGCTTCACTTTCGACCCCAACATGATTTTCTTTTACCTCACCACTAGCAGCTCCATTACCAACGTATGTTGGGAGAGCAACCGCTAGTGCAGATTGAAATTTTGGGTTAGATGTGATTGCCTTTGTTGCTGCTGCAGTGGAATTTGGTAAAGGTTGTTGAGAAAATGCACAGCTTCTAGTGTAAGTGGGTTGGTAGAGATGCCCCTGAAATGGTAGTTTTCCAGTGTTCATAAAGCAACCATTTTGGTTTCTAGTTTGGGTGATCAATCCCCCATAGTTGAAGTATTCATTATAAGAATTCCAATAAGGCGGCTGTAGCATACTAGATTGCAAAGAAGAGTTAGTACTTGAGGAAAAATTGTTTGTTGATGAATATTTTGGCATGAAAGACAAGCCTGGGGTGAATTTTCCGTTTTGAGGTGAAGTTGGAGGTGTGGTAAGGTCAAGAGTGATTGTGGGGTGGGAATTGGAGATTGAAATATATGAGTTGTGATAGTATAGCTGTTGTGGTTTTGAAAATTGCTGATAGCTTGATGTGAATTTTAGGGCATTCATGTTATCAGAAGCCCCAGGGTAGATAAGGGAAATTGAATCTGAATTGGGTAGGTCCTGTGAGCTCAATAAGGGAGACTGAAGCATTGAAGCGGCCGCAGCAGTTGTGTAGGCTATGGTGGTGGCTGAAGTTGGCAGTGGATGGTTGTGGGTTCCTTCATATGTGGTAATCAAGATTGAAATGTCTTCAGCACATCTTTGAACCTGAAAATTTTGAAGCAAATAATTAAGGTTAATTAATTATTAATGTTAGCTATAACCTTTCGAGTTTACAATTTCAATTGTTAAGTCATAAAATCAATAAGAGAAACTGTTATTGCAAATAATGTTATTCAACCTAGATAACTCTGCCTAAGCGTATAAGTCCATCAGTCACTTGAGTTAAATCCCATATTAAAATTTAAGATTTTAAAGAGTGATACTCAGAAACAGGAAACCGATCGACATATATCAGAGAAGTTTATATATGCAATATTTCAAATGGTATTTGGCAGGAATGTTTTAAATGTATACGGTATCAGAATGTGCTTCATAAAAATTTCAGGGCCAACTTCCTGCAACATCGTGACATTTTACTGGGAAACAAAGCAAAAGAGGCTTGGTGCACTATGATTTGTTGTCATATGGTCCTCACGGAGCTATAATAATCACAGTTTTTATAACGATTAGTCTTCAAGTTTTGATATTATAATGGAAATGATAAAATTAAGATCATAGATTTGAATTAGGGATAAGATGAATGGTTTTTATTTATCTTTTCTTAAATAGGTTAATCAGTCATTTATGTTCATCAAAGCTCTGAAGTGTTCAAACTTTGTATTTGGGTTTGGGTACCCTCTTGTTCCCCTTTATTTATTTTCTTTGCTAATAAAAAAAATATATTAGTCTCATTGCATTTAACCTTAGTCTAATAAAAAATATTGCTTACTCATGCAATCATTTGTTTAGAAACAAACTGAAGTGGAGGTAAAGAAAAATATAAGAACTGGAATTTGGTAATGCATGTATGCAATCGTTTTATTGCTCTCCATTTATGACCTATTCTCCTTTGTTACCTGAGACAATCCATTAGAAAACCCTTTACCTGTTTTCTCACGGGACAAGAGGGAGAGACAGTGCATCGATAGTACGCTCGGGGGCACGGATTCCCTTTTGCCATTTTCTGTCCATATTTTCTCCATTGGCAACCATCATTCATCTGTTTTAAAGTTCAATAATGTTCTAATTTCAGCCTTGAAAGAATTGAGAAAAAGGAAAAACAATAGTACTGAAATTTATATATATAATAATATTTATCTTGTACATTTTGAACTTTTGTATGCATATTAGAGTACTCTTTATGTTTCTTTAATTAACAAATTTCTTCTTAACAGAAAGTAATACAGTAATATTTTATAAATTTAATGACAATTCTTCTATTACAAAGTTACACCTTGATTATTATTTATTCTTCTATTTCGATTTCTGTCTTTAATATTGATTTCACAATTTTAAATTGTAATTGTGGTTGCATTACAATAAGCAAAATTGAGAAAAAGGACTAATCAATGCAGCCGACCCAATCGCAATTTAGTTTCAGTCTTTCAGAAGCCTAACAAGTCACCTTGAAGGCTTATAAAGTAAAGTACGCGTATACAAATGGTGAAAAAAAAGCCTAAAAAATCGCTATATTGCAACCCCAATTACAGTTACAATGTAATTTAAATCCATGATTTATTTCAATTTGGAACTATGCAAATGTTATTGGGACAAAGAAAAGAAACTCAATGTTAAATATATTATCAAGAAGCATTATGTAGTTATGTTCAGTATAGTACATGTTTATACTAACCGTTTGGGTATCACATCTGGCTCTGATACAAACCCTAGCTTTCTTAAGCTGAGAATGTTGAGAAGCTTCACTTTTATCCCCAATTCTTTTTGTCTTGAGAACTTTACTGGGTGGCCACATGTCCCTGATATTCTCTTCATTCCTTTCATAATCACAGCTACTTTCAGTGTTGGGATTTTTTGTGGCTTCAACCTGAAATGAAGGGTCAAACCTGATGTCTAACCCAAGATCAAGTCCTTTATTTAAATCCTCACTTTCACTTATCCTTTCAGTTCCTTTGCTATTCTTCTTCTCATGCTGTTGGCCTTTGGATGAAATTCCAAGAGAAAGGGAGATAAGTTCCTCACTTTCTTCGTTTTCTTCGTCACTACTTGTATCCCTTACAACCCGTGCCAATGAAAGCTTCAACCTCTCATTTTCTTCTCCAACCTCTCCCATTACCCTCTTAGCTTTTTCGAACTTTTGGTATCCGTGCATAATCAAAGACAAGCCTAAAGTTATTAGCAAGTATCTTCCACACTTGTTGGGTGTTATGTGTTTGAAGGAAATGAAAATTTCAGGGTATAATTATTGGTAGGAGAATATAGCTATGCATTGAAACTTAAATACATGATGGAAATTAATGATGCAATGGATTACGTTATCATTATTTTTATTATTATTTTGTGTGTGCGTATGTGTTGAATTATTTTCCTTCCAGGCGAACGTAGCAATGGTGATTCGTTTGTCATTAATTGTTTACTTTACGTGTCAAGATTTATTTGACAGCAGTGAGCCAGTGACTCGAGTTCACAGAGATGCTTTTAAGTTGTAAGAAATTTCAAGAGTTCATAATTATTATCATTTGCTAGTCAATGTAAACATCACTCCTTCAGGGTAAACATAGTAACATACATTGCAAGCTAGAAGAAGTCAAATATGACCAAATTAATGATTCGTGTGTACTTACACGAAATGAAAGAAAATAGGTTAACTAAGTGGAATGGGAGCATAAGCCTAAACAGGTTTTCGGCTTAATAAAGTTATAAAATATACTTGTTCAATGCAGTTTTTCTTCATCTACCCAAGTACTAATTCTTTTGTGGAAACATACAGGTAAAAGGAAAAAGAGTTGAATTTCACTAATGGCAGATGATTAAGACGGAGGTAGAATCATTGAAATTCAAAAGGCTATGGATCTTCTGTTTTTCACGTGGGATTGCGTTGGATCTTTAGTACATTGACTCTGACCTCTCGACTGAAGATTCACGGTACTGAGCCATGGTTAATGCGAATACATATATATATATATATATATATATATATATATATATATATATATATATATATTATGGAACATTATGAACTATGATTTGAAATTTAGGTTGTGTTGATATTACAATAGTGAAAAATTGCAGATAAAATCGATCATAAATACAATTATAACCATAGTGATCATGATATGGTTACAAAACTGTAGTGTTGCAGCAATAACTGTGGATTGAAATATTTAAACCCACATATGGTAAATTAAACTTTTTTATTTTAAACATGAATTAAATAATAATAATAATAATAATAATAATAATAATAATCATCATCATCATACAATAACAGCTAAAATTATAATTAATAAATTCAAAATCCTTACTAAATCAAATAAAAATAAGAGAAAACGAAGCTTGTTATTAAAGATTAAAAAAGTATAACTTGAAAGAGTATAAAATAAGGGAATAACATTTAATTTCAATTATCCTCTTTAAAGTTTAAACTTCCAACACAAAATTTAATTTCATTTATAATAATAAATACATTAAATCTATATTAATATATTAATTTATATTTTTTATTATTAATTTTAAACATATTTATTTAAAATATAAATTTTATACTCTCTTTCTCTCTCCAAAACCTCCTTTTTCAGACAACCCTCAAATTCTATCTCCGTTTTCTCATCAAATCTCGGATGAAGTTCCAATTATTCTGTTTCTGTGTCTCTGCGACTAATCTTATTATGATTAGGGATATTTAAATAGATATACGTCCAGAAATGATTTGTTCTACATAATTATTTTAATTTAAAATTAAAAAATATATTATTTTCTCTTTTTTTAAAAAAATTTCTCCCAAGCATATAAAATATTTCTTCCCTTTATGTTGATGTAAAGAAAAGAAAAGAATATATATATATATATAGGTTCAATGTTTTTTTCCATTATAGAACATCAAATTCTAATATCACAAAATCGTGTTGTGTTTGTGAGAGTGATACTAACATTATTCTTAAATATATGATCACTTTTATTCTGATTATTAGTTTAACAGTAATCGATCAAGATCCACTTTTACAAACAAAAGTTAACATGCATGCATCATCCCTAAAATTCTATCTCTCTCTCTCTCTCTCTCTCTATATATATATATATATATATATATATATATAATAGAACCGCATTAATGGAGTAAAAAGGTGAAAGTAACAGCTATAAGGGAAAGCTTGAAATTAAACTTCTAATTATGCATATCAGAAGACCAAACTGAATATGCAAGGCACTGGTGAAATTCTAGAAGGCTGAAAATCTCTTTAAATGGCACAGAACAAAGGAAATCACCTTATTGCCATTAATTTCTTCAGGGCCGTTAGACTCCAAGATGTAATTATTATTTTCCATAACTTGCATTGATGTACTCTTTTCAAAGAAGATGCAATTTCTTTCTGTCGTCAATGTGCTTTTTCTTGTCATCTCCGAATGAGTTTGTCTGCCTTCTTTATATACTGATGCCACAAAAATGCCGACTTCAGTCAAAGTTCACCTGCCATGTCTCTCATCAACCTCGATTCTGGCGATTATAGGTGGGTCCTTAATTTCGGTGCCATTTTTATATTCAGACCTTTCCTTTTACCATTGTATATATGTTCATCAATTCCAGACAAATTTTCTAATGAAAGGTCTATATTTTATATTTTTTTAACTATTTTATTAATATCTTTTTTAAAAATTTATTAATTTTAAATATATAAAAGTATTCTTAGTTATTGAGAGAATTTGATATTTTCTCTTACACATAAAATAATTTTAATCGTTAATTTTATATTAATAAATAATAAAATGAATAATTTAGTTAAAAAAGATGTTAATATTTTTTTTATTTTTAATACATTAAAAAAATTACATCCGTTAATTAAAATATATATAAAATAAATATCCTCTCAAATTATAGGTATCAATACCATGTATAAAAATAGTAAATTTGTATAAAATAAAATACTATTATAATTTGATATTTCTCATAAAATAAATATTTACTTTTTTAATAAAATATTAGTACTTTTAATTTTAATTTTATTTTTATCAAGAAAAGGCATGAAAGAGATCTTATATAAGCAACAAGATGAAAGGTGCAGGAAAGGTTTAAAACTGTAGTAGGTAATCACAATTGCAGTCTCAATCATAGTTTTAAAAGTATCTACAACCGAATTGTGATTGCAATTGCAATTGCAATTGCAGCTACTCTAGTGTAAAATCATGGTTATGAAGGTCTCAGTAACCGTTTAATATTGCAATTTAAAACCTTGTGTGATGGGAAAGATTGTGTCTGGTTGTTGTTTGATCGATTTTGTTCTTAAAATAAGTCTGTTAAATCTGGATTCTTTTCTTTCTAATTAACTCCTCTGTAAAGATGTTGGTGGTAAGTTTGTATTTGAATTTAATAGAATTATATTATTCTTGCATACAATTTTTATAATACTATTTTATAATTTTTTTCATTGAAGTAGGATTTTTTCATATTAGTGTAAATTTAAAAACACTTATACTAGTTCAGGATTTAAGAGTGTTGGTAGATTAATTATATTTTTTGTTTTTCTTCTTCTTTAAACGAATTATCAACATTTTCACTATATAGTTAACTAGAGCTTATGTTTGACATAACCAAACTTTTAGAATTAAAGGAGGAAAAATAAAAAGTGGAGATAAATATCATCTGGGGTAATTAATTTAAGCAGTATATACTTACTTTACTTTAATTAAGGTTTTAAGTTTAAATCTTATGTATGAAAAAAAAAAAACTGTCACCAGATAAAGTTAACCCTACTATATGTGCTGTAATATTATCGATATATTCGAGTAAGATTATCACTTATAAAAAAAACATTTATGGCTTAGAAAAAATGTAACAAAGTTCATCGATCGGTTATTAAATTTCTGTTATAGGAGTAATTGACTTTCTAATAAGTTTGATGAAAAACAGTGACTAGTTGAGCGGTCCAAGGAATATCTAGCTCCACACATGGAATGATCAGCAACATTAATAGTTTATTTCAACGAGTGAGGCATTAGTTACAATAACAAGTCCATTTTCAAAGCTGTTCCTACCATTGAAGAGCCATTTCTGCAGGCTGCAGCTGGCTACATGCTATGCAGTAGTAATATGTTCAGCTTTCAATAATCAAATAGATACCTTCTATTCAAACTTTAAGGGCCGGCAATGGGACGTTAAACGCACGCAATACATGGATTATTCACTGTATATCTGATAGATCAATGTTAATTGGTATTATTACGGTGTATTATCTGATCCATTTGATAAGAAACAAAAAATTAAATTTTTAAGACGAAAAAAAGCAATTAAATTACTTATATTTTTATAAATATAAATTTTATTTTAAAAATATTTATGATATTAAATGTTATAATTAGTAATTTGTAAAATTAATGATACTAATAAAAAAAAGTATAAAAGAAATTTAACAATTAATATTTTTTAAATCTATCATTTATTTTTTATAATAAAAATTAAAAAAAATATTTCATTTTATTTTTTGTAAAAAGTACCGAAGAAGTATTTGTTACTTGTGTCTAACGATAAGCTTCAGCTATTTATGTGTAAATATTTTAGTTTCACATGAACCTTCAACGTAGTCCAACGGTAGTTAATTTGACAAGGATATATAATGTAGTATTAAATGATAGTTAGCTAAGCGCAGTCATTATCAATCTGCAATATAGCCATATAGACATGGCTCTAATTTACCAAACTTAAGTACTTGGAATAATATTATACGTGTGATTTTTTTAATATTATTTTTGATAAAATTATTAAGATTTTATTTCAGTGGCCTGTATATTGAAAGTCGTCATTAAAGGTAAGTACGATTCTTAAAGTTGTTAAGATAAATTAAAAAATTTTGTTTGAAAAATTTTAATAAATAAATTAGGTAAAAGCTAAAAGTTAAAAGATAAAAATCCATAATATCATTAATCATATTAAAAGTGTTTAATAATATTGGTTATTGAACTAATTGATAAATACAAAAACATATTTAATTATTAGTTATAACTTGAAATCTGCTCACTGTATACTTACAAATAATTGCAAATTTTTTACTTTAATTTATTTACAATAATTCATCTTCTTAAAATTAGGATAAATTTTTTTATTTTTTTAATGTTTTATTA